TAGCTAGGGGACATGATCCACGAGGACAGGTTGGACGGAAAGGAGCAGCGCGGCTGCCGTTGGAGTCAAACCAATGCAATGCAAGGCCATGGCGGACGGGACGATGGATCATGCATGCTTAGGTTATGCATGCCTAGGTGTCATGTTGGCGCCATCTGCAGAAGAAAGGTGAGGTGTTGACATGGCACGAGTAACGGAAGCAGGGGACGCCCTGATCTGTAGCACACACGCACGCACGTCAGGACGACCTTCGCACATGCATATGTATGATTGAAGTAAACTAGGCAACTGTGTGGTCCAGGACTCCAGGCCAAAAAAAACCAGGCAAAAACACATATATAATTAACCTAGCTAAGCTAGGGCGCGCGGCTGGATCATCATCATCTCATGGTTGCAGTCGCATTTGTCAAACACTCAACGAACACACGTACACGGCCGGCCGGAAGGCTAGCTAGCTAGCTGTTTGTAAACAATGCCAGGGCACACGAGGGCATCTTCATCGCCGGAGCTAGTACTAACATGCCAGCCGTGTTCGTTCTCTAGCTTCTCTCCTCCATAGCTAGCACACACTAGTAGCCACTAGCAAGAAGATGTGGCTGCAGACGAGCTGAGTCCACGGTCGTCGTCGCCGCCGCGCGCCGAGATGGAGATGGACAACGGGGATCGCACATGCACGCGTCTGAGACGATGCTGTTTTGCAGGAGGCTCGCCAGCAACCGGACACGCGGCAGGTGAGGCGAGATTCGTTATTCCCCGGCCGGCCGCAACAGCCGGATCCATGCTGTGCACACGCACCATCTCGATCCATGGACGGACGATCCACCCTATGCGGCGCCGGCACGGCACCAGCTAGTAGCGTGCGTGCGCGCGCGCGTGGTGTCGATCTGCTCGCTCGTCGATCCATATCATGTCCATGCGATCGGGGGACAGCAGATAAGTGTTTCGTCGTCGTCTCCTCCGATCCACCCACACATCATCTCACGCGTTGGCATTGCTCATCGCTCACCGGGAGAGTACTACTAGTAGCATATTTGCATTATTCCAACCATATATTAGTTCTTAATATTTTGCAGCGACACATATATTGGAAGCTGCTATATATATTTCAGGTGCCTTCAGGCGACAATCTTATACAACCACCTAGTATAATTAAAAGGATAACTTACAAGAGACAGTTGACAATTTTTTTATTGTCAAACAATGACAAAATTACCTATTGTCTAAACTCTAACAATAATAAAAAAACCAGGCACCTGGATTATAGGAGAAGTGATATATATTGTGCTTCAATTTTCTTTAATTCCATACACCTTCTGTTTTATACATAAATATCATGCACAAATATAGTAATAGACTAATTTCCATATACATCCTTTTTATAACAAAAAAAAACACAGTCAGTGCCTATCTCAAGCTAGTTCTTTTAGTTTTATAGGTCCATAATTCATAAGCTTTGCAACACAAGCAACGCCTAACAACTTGGATCTATCATCCTGGAGTAGCTGCAAAGGCACACCACGCAAAACTTTAATAAGTACATGTATCATGTCGTCCAACGATGCTTGTTTTAGTTTACCGGCGTGCCAACTGAAAACAACTGATCGAGCTGTACCTGTATGTGCAAATGCTAACGTCTTCTGGTCCAAGCTACAACCTTAATCATCAATTCATCATCACATTATAATTTTGAATGAAGGAAAAAACATGCTTTAGCCCTTGTTTAGTTCCACCCCAACTTCTAAAAATTTGCTACAGTACCTGTCACATCGAATGTTTGCGGCCCATGCATGGAGCATTAAATGTAGACGAAAAGAAAAACTAATTGCACAGTTTGGTGGGAAATTACGAGACGAACGTTTTGAGCCTAATTAGTCCATGTTTGAACACTATTTACCAAATAAAAACGAACGTGCTACAGTAGCCCCAAAATCCAAATTCCTACAACTAAACACAGCCTTAATGTATGTAGTAGTAGGTGCTCTCCCATCATCATATCACCAGATGCATCATTGTACTAATCTATATGCATTGTTATATATGCCAATCATAATGTTGCACGAATGGGTTTGTCGTCCTTCAAAGGGTTCCTCTCCTCTCCTTATCTCCTACCGGCTGCTGTTAGTTGCAGAGGTTGAGTCGTTGGTTTGCGCACGAACGCTTGCATGCTGAATTATTTGCGTCTTCTTTTCCCTTTAAGCTAACAGCCGCCAGATCCGCAAAAAAGAGATTTCCTAGACATGAATCTTTGACATAAATAGAGACAGAGAGATTATATGCAGGTAGCTAGCAGAATATGCTTCATTATTGAAGCAAGCAAGTAATGCTAACCTGTATATGTTCATATGTACAATCAGTGGAAATCGTGCTCAATTCATAGCGAGCGAGCGAGCTACCAGACGTTTGGGTAATCATATATTTCTAGTTCCATCTTTTAGTACTAGAGGATAAGAGAGTATCTTAGCTATTTGATTATAATCACCAAAATTCAAGATGGCAGCTAACCACCGTATTTCCAGAGAGATTTGATTCTAGCAAGGACAAATTTGCATGCACGAATGGGTAGGTCCCATCAAACAATAGCTAGTCCAGTTTGTTTACTACAAAGTCTAGAATCTTATCAATCCGTATGATCCTTACGTGTTGAGTTTCGCAGTTTAGTTTTACTACCAATTAGCTAGCAAAGTGAGCTGTGCAAATAATAGTGGGTAGCTACGTTTTTTTCGTTGTATAACCATTAGTTTTTTTTACTTAAACACAATATTTGATAAAAAAAATGTTTGTTTGTTTGAATGTAATTGCCACCTCTCGATGATGTTTCATTCCTAACTGCATCAATCTACATGAATTTCATACATCTATCGTCGCCCATTTCTTGTCTTAAGGACCTCTACTCATCCCTTTTATTCCGCTCCTACCACATGGTTGTGTAATTTCTGCCGAGGCTAGGTTGAAGTAGCCTTTCGTTCTTTGGTGAGCTCTGTCAAAAAACTAATTCTTTAGACTTCTTGTAAATTTAAATTTTGAATCATCTTGTATCCTACAGATCCATAACTATCTTTTTTGCCCTTAAACATCACCCGATTCATTATAATATTGCTCATGCTTAGTGGAGGCACTATTGCCTCAAGAAGATGCTAGCCGGCTCTGTCACCACACAAACACATCCATTGGCACAAGCATTCTAAAATAAAATGTGGAACCATCACCAACACCAGTGAGTAGCTAATCTCTGGCCTACTATTTTGACCACTCTACAATATTGTTGTGGACATGCTATGACCATATTATATTTGTTTCCATTCATGACCAACTTCTCACAAAAAAAAAAATCTGACTATGTCTCTTGCATTGCTCACGAGGTTCTCATCCATGTGCTTGCACAAGGAATCGATCGACCAACAGCCTGCAAGATATCAAAAGAGTGTATGTTTTTTACAACTTTTTCATAACATCGGTTGACTGAATATGTTTTCTTCTCCTTGGTTATCACCATGAAAGACGTCAAAAGTTGAGCCAAGATCATTGTAATTGACACATTCCATTTAGTTATTTATCCTTTGTCGACATTGATGATGGTGCTAAAATTCTCTATTTAATTTAATTTTTTCTAATAATAATTTATATGGACTTTTAATTCATTTTGAGATCAAACTATTAACTTTCATAATATTTTATTTAAATTTTTTCTTTATTAATTGTGTTCTGCATGTAGATAGAGGCTTTATGTAGACATTTTTCTTTCCCATTAGATCAACCTAAAAATCGAATATTTAATGCTGGACCTTTTCTTTTTTCTGATTAACACCAGAATTTCTAGACCCTCTCGGGTGAATGTAGTGGCTCTTTTTAACATTGTTGTACGAATACAATAGATACATTTTATCTATTTGTGATGGAGCTTTACTCTATATGGTTTTTCGACATTTACTATGATAATACAAACATTTTGCAGTGGTTTCAACACAGGTGGCCAATGTTAAGTATGTAAATATATTAACTATGGGCAACTAGTTTCGTTGGTGATCTGGTAAAACTATAAAACAAAATGTACAAATTAAACTAGAAAAGTATAGCGTTCATCCTATCAAATAAGAGAAACAGAAAGGGAGTTAAATTAGAAGTTCAAAATCAGGGTATATGCTTGTTAGCTCTAATAAAAAAATATGATAATTAAGATGTATATAAACCACACTGATAGAGAAAAGCTCAAACAAGTCATTTTGATCCATGCATGTTTTAGCAGTTTTTTTTAAACCATCTACTTAGAGGCTTAGAGGCAAGAGCTATGCATATATATATGATTGTCAAGTTGATCAAAGCCTAAATTTAAAAAACCGCCGAGTAGTGGTGCATCGCGCCCAATGACCGACTATGTGGCCACCTCCTTTTATTTAGTGTTCAATGTCTCTGAGATCTTGGGCAATGTTCAATAGAATAGTGGTGCATTGATCAGTTTTGTCTCTCATTCGAACGCGCAATAGTGATGTGTCATCAGGAACTTGATCTAGATCCAGATCAGAGCCATGGTTTCACTTAAGAATAGTGAAAATAATTCAGAGATCTTAACTCGAGCAGTTTGCGTTAATGGAGCATGGTCTCCAATCTCCTTCGCTCATTTTTTTATGGAATACTCCCCATTCTAAATTATAAGCTTTTTTTAGCTTTTCTTGATAGATAGTTTTTTGTTAAACACTTAAATATATACTATGTTTAAATGTATAGCAGCAAAAGATATATACCTAGAAAAGACGACGTAGTATTTTGTATAAGCGCCGTGTGCCAACGAGATGGGTTTAAACTTATGAACACGAATGCCGATCGAATGCGGTTTTGTCCGATGAAATGTAAGCACATCACAGTTCGCAGGAATGCATGCATTTGAACAAGAGCCAAATAAACAAGCTAGAGCATTTTTTTCGTCCAATAATCTGTATGTACACTTGCATTTTTGGGTTAACAAGGACATTTTGGAGTGTTGTTTTGATGGATGTCGAAAACAATCAGCATATGCGGGTGCGAATATTGAGCAGTGCAACCCTAGTGTGCAGGATGCGCCTGAACACCTTGTCACTCCCGGCTTCCATCTCGGCGATGCACTCGTCAAGCTGCTCCATCTTCTCCAGCGCGGTCAACTCCTTGTCCTCGTCGGAGGCGGCGGCGGCCTTGCTGCTCCTGGTGACCAGAGACATGAGCGTCGCCGTGGCCGCAGGTTTCTTGGAGGAAGCAGACGCGGTGGCGGCGGTGGCGGCGGACGAGACGGCCTCGAGCGCGGAGAACACGGCCGCGGACGCGGACGCCGCGGCGGCCAGGGCCTCGGCGAGCACCCCGGACACCTCGACCTCGGCGACGGTGGTGGCCGCGGGCGCCACAGGGAGCAGAGGGAGTCTGGTGGCGGCGCGCGCGGAGGACGCGAGGCGTGCGAGGTCCTTCTCGGCGCTGCGCTGGGCGCGGACGGCCGACGCGAGGCGCGCCGCGTCACGGCGCCGCAGCGCGGCTCGGGCCTCGGCGGCGTGGCACCTTAGGTCGACGAGGGTCTCCCGGAACGCGCCCTGCGCGTCTGCGAGGGCGAGCAGGCCGTCCAGGAGGCGGTCCGAGAAGGCGCTGGCGGTGGCGAGCCCGGCGCGGGGCTCCGGGAGCACGAGGAGCTCGGCCAGCGCGGCGTGGAGCGCGTCGAGGTGGGCGAGGCCCGCGGACGGGGTGGAGGTGGTGGTGCAGGGGTCGGCGCCGGCGGTGGCGGCCCAGGCGCGGACGGCGCGGGTGGTGGCGTGGAGGTGCGCGAGCAGAGGGTGGGCGCGGCAGGTCGGGAGGCTGATGGAACGCACGTGGCGCGCCTGTTTCTTGGTTGTGGAGGAGGAGGAGGAGGAGGAGGAGGAGGAGGAGGAGGAGCGCGCCGGGCTCAGCGGGAAGGAGATGGAGCGGCCGAAGGCGGGCGCCATTGGAATGGGTCCTTGATGGAGGATGCCTTGCTTGTTCTGCAGCCTCAGCTCGTTGTGGAGAGGCCGGGGCCCGGGGAGGAAGAGGGGGTATATAAAGCGGAGGCGCCGGCGCGCACGTGGGGGTGGGCGGGTGGCGCTGTCCTGTTGGTGAACGACCGATCGATTTGCTGGCCGGCCGGTGGTGTGCATGCTACCCGGCCAGTACATGCTTCCTTCTCCTTCTCCATCACACATTCACACAACAAGATGGTGGTGCACTGGTTGTTCAAGCTGCGTGCGTGCGTGCGTAGCGTACGTGCCTTGTACCAGCTGTGCCAATGCAACTGTGTATTTCATTTCGTGCTTCCATGCGCTGCTAATTGTATGTAACAATATTAAGCCCATGTTTAGTTACAACCTAAAATCCCAAAAAGTGCTACAGTAGCCATTACATCGAATGTTTGTGGCCCGTGCATGGAGCATTAAATATAGACAAAAAAAAACTAATTGCACAGTTTGGTGGGAAATTACGAGACGAACATTTTGAGCCTAATTAGTTCATGTTTGAACACTAATTGTCAAATAAAAACGAAAGTGTTACAGTAACCTAAAATGCTTCATTTTGTATATATATCCAACAGTCGTAGTACGTCCATATCCATACACATGTTTTGTACACTCACAACGGCCGGCCATCTGCTGCTGCTGCATGCTACCTCCTCCATGTAAGAGTATATCCAGAGCCTTGCCTTGTTCAACCGCCTGCAGCTACCGGATCCGAGTATCCGACGACGTGCACATCCATCTCCAAATCATATTTTTTGAAATATAAATACACGGCACGATAACTATATGCTCCAATGGTAGTTCCATCTTATTACATGTGCGCTTGCATTTTTCTTTCCTGCGTATTCAGCAAAACTTCCTCCCCTTTAGCAAAAATGCTCGTGCGTTGCAACGGGACGCATGCATGATAATTTATTGTATGATTCACATACCAATAGTAATAAACTATATGTTTTATTAAATTTATTAATTGGGCATGATCCAACCTCAGCTTAAATAAATCAAAAAAATTGAGCCTTTTCCCTGTGTGTAGTTACGAAAGATGCTCTAGGCCTACGTGCCACTAAAAAGTTCAAATGCGCCCTGGTGCTATGACACTTTTTTTTTTGTCTCCCAAACCATTCCGTCCATCTTCCGTCTGATTTTTGCCGTTTGCCGGCCATGACACGTGGGCTCAGCCAGTGAAAACGTCTAAAATATTCTTCTCTCATAACCTCATCCTCTACCTCTTTCTCTCTCCGCCGGGTGGGACCAAGCTGTTAGCGACTCCAACACCTTCTTCCTCCTCAAGACGAGCAGCGCGAGCCGAGGCCTGGCGCCCGCTGCTTCAGCTGGCACGGAAGGAGCATGGGACGACGATGGGGACGGGGATGGCGCCGAGGATGGGTCGGTCTCCATGTGCGTCTCCTCGCCCTCGCTCGCGCCGCCGAACCGGAGGCGCTCGCTGTCTAAGCGCACCCCTGCCCGCGCGCTAGTTGCTAGCACGAGCCCTGTCCTCGGACGCTCGCCTTGCTTGCATCTCACATCGGGTGCTCTAGTGCCACCATGAGCTGCTCATTGTTCTCGGGGTTGGACGCGCCGCGCCTGGAGGCCGGCAACGCGCTGCCTCGGGGCCGGCCAAGAGCCACGCCGCGCCCTGAGGGACAACGGCCGCATGCCGCCCCCGAGCTGGCCGCGAGCCGCGCCTAAGGTCTGGCCACGCCGCGTCCTGGAGGACGGTCGCGCCGCGCCAAGAGGCCGGCTGCGCGCCGCCTCGGGGCCGATCGCGCCTCGCTGAACGTCGTGCGCGCGGGTGGCGTGGCTGGCGCGGCCATGCGCCGCCTCCGCTGGTGGAGCCGCCTCCTGCGTCAGGGATACTGAGACGATGACCAAGAGAGGGATGGAAAAATCTGGCCACGCACGTTCTTGGCTTTGCGGCCATGGCGGACAGCGGCGACGGGATCAGCCAATACAGCCCCTACCCTTGATCGTTCTTGACGGGATTGCTTCCCAGAGCTAGCTTTCAACCTTAATCACTCATTGCTACAAGGAATCGAAACGAGAAGGCTCGCTCATGGCGAATTTTGAAAGATGCAGAGGGTGGCCATGGCGGACGCGTTCTGGCTTTTATAGCCGGGCATCGCGAGGCAGGGCAGACATGGGCTCGACCGGTGCCCGCGGTAGCTTCCAGAGCACGGTGGGGCATCCACTTGTGCAGGTGGTGGCACCGCGGATGCGGGTGGCAGGCGCCACACTTGCCGCACAGGGGGAGCTCGCCGCCGCCATGGATAAGGCCCCGGCTGGGGATGACGCCCAGGCCTAAACGACGACGTCGTGTGCGGCCGCGGTATATGACATGGAACAGCAACCTCGCCTGCGTCTAGCTCGCCCACCTTCCAGAACGGCGCTCAAGGGCCTCGTCAAGCTGTAGGAGCGGTCGCGCGACGGCAGCAGCTTCGCCGCCGTGCGCCGGGGCGAAGCTCACTCCCGGCGGCCGGGGCAGAGCTCGCCCATGGCGGCTGGAGCGGAGCTAAGCTCGCCCACATGTTGGTAGTGGTGGCCGGGGCGCTGGTCGCGTAGGCCGGGGATGCCCCCAGCACCGTGTCGGGCTCTCAGGCACCATCGATTCGGCCGGGGCGACGCTGCTACACGAAAGAGAAGAAAAAAGAGGAAGGTTTGGGTGGCTGACAAACGAGCCCCACTGTAGGGCAACATGGTCATTTCATCTGTCTGTTTGACATCGTTAGAGGTAAAAGTAGACGAAATGGCATGAAAGGCAAAAAAGTTTAGCGTCATGGCATCAAAGTGCGTTTGAACTTTTTAGTGGCCTGTAAGTCAGGACCATCTTTCATAACGGCACACAGATAAAAGGCTCAAATAAATTCTAGACCCGCTGCCCTCAGCTTGCGTCTTTGGTCGGTGGAGACACAAAGAGAAGAGGGGCGAGTTTGTCCACTCAAGTTACGGAAATCTAGCCCATCCACGTCATCCTCCAATCCAAACTCACGGTTAGTTGCTAGAGCTTTACTAGAAATGCTAATCTATTCACATCAGAAAAAAAGGAATCGGCGTGCTTTCTAGATAGCTAACAACAAAGTATCTTGCATCTTAAGAGGCGAACATTGCAAATTTAGAATATTGATGGGAATACAACCGTTGAGCAATAGCATATCACAACATTAGGACAAATGTTGACTTGTCAACATTCACAACTGAGGATAACACATTAGATTAGAACAAAGCTTGCATGGTTAATGTCTTTTTTGTGATCCGTGTATGAAGTAGTAAACACGTATCTGGAAGAGCATCTATGGGAAGCAGATCCATATTGAGCGGAGTTCACACCAACAAGTTGATCAAATATGTTAAATGTGAACATGTGTGTTACAACAGCAAAAATTTTGGGAAAAAAATTAACTGTCAGACAAATTAACATAAGACTCAATGCCCCTCTCTCACTACAATAACTCGAACCATGGTGGTTTATAATATCCAAATTTTCCATCGCTATTAGTCGGCTGGTGGCACATGGGCCTTCCATGCCAATAAGAGTTAATCTGTGACAACTACAATCATAATAGTTGTAGAAGGAATTTTAAGACATGCACGTACTACTATACATATTGTCCAGCTGCTGAATAATTCCTTCACAATCAGAAGAACAAATGGTTCAAACTTGTGTGGTTATTCCTTACCTATAAATGAAAGGGATCAATGTGTGTAAACATTATCTAGAGAGAAAGATAGTAGGGAACCGGTAAAAAAGTATAAACAAACTAATTTAGTCATGGACCCAAATATTTCAATTTTAATTATTTGGGTGCATAAATAAATTAGTTTGTTTATACTTTTTGAGTGCGCACACTTCATAATGAAAGCAATATTTGTCCTCAGTACCCAAACATTAGGAAGATGGGTACTGAGGACAAAATCAAAGTTTCAAGTCAACCATAATGACAGTGATATTGTCCTTAGTGCCCTTCGTCAGTGCGAGCCTCAGCAGCGTCTTGTGCAGAAGGATCAGTGGATTCATCACCCTCAACACACAAATGATGATGTGAAACCATTGTTTTTGTGCCACAGTTGGATTTGTCAACGCGCAACTTTGCATGCCTCTTCATTCGACACATCCCACAGTCCATCACTGGCAAGAATGAGACAGTTCTTCATTCCACACTACATCCCACGGCCCATCACTTGCAAGAATGAGGCAATCGTCATCTTTTGCCCTAGGAACAACTATAACTTCTGGTTTTGGAATGACGAATGGTTTCAAATATCGGTCCCTTCAACAAGTGTTTCTAAGTTTAGGTTAGCAAAAGGTGATGAAAATTGGACAAATGCTAACCAACCCACAAAGAAGTCAACTGAACTGTTGGTTCAACTAAATTTTCTATTGAATGTGGCAGAACCGTCCGAATTAGCACACTTTTGAAGGCGCTCGTCTTCCATTAGACACTAAGCACCTCGAAAGTGAGCTTCATCGGACCGTTCTATCGAGCCCACCCTAAGGGAGAACTCGAAACAATCCACGTTTTACCGCCAAGATCCAATAATGAGTACGAGTTTACAATACTTAGTCCATTTCATACAACAAAGAGTTCTTGGAAATTATTTATTACAATACCAGAGTTCAGAGTGCGATAATTAAATAGCGGAATTAAAATGAACATCTAGCGGAATCGATACAAGGATCCGTCTGTGCCCACCAGAAGAATCTTCCACACAAGAGCTACTCCTGAAGCTGCACCTGCAACAGGAGTAAAATAAACCCTGAGTACTCAATGTACTCGCAAGGCTTACCCGACTAGAGGGAATAGTTTCCTGACTCCAAGGGGTATGATAGGCAATATGGTTTGTTGTTTTCTTTTTTGTTTGCAAAAAACATTATTAATAGTAAGTCCTTAAGTCAAGTTTTATTGGCAGTCATGATTACTTCATTAGCTAACCATTCTAGGTAAGCACATGTTCTACTT